GCTACTATAGTGTTGTAAGTTGTGTGAAGTTGGGTGTGGTCTTGGCAAAAGTGAGCGGCTCGCTTGGGTGAGCGGCTCGCTTGTGGAGTACGTTACAGCAAGCCTGTTTACGAAGGGAGCAAGCTGCGCTATACAATTCAATAAAGCAAAGACAGAGCTTATTTACTTTATAACAAGCAACAAAGCAATAAGCTCTTGTCGCAGCAAGGATCGAGGTGAGGGTGCATATCACGTGATCCGCATCTGGATATTGGACCGATCAGACACTAGCGATCTATCACGCCATGGTGAGTGGAATCAGGTATAGCTTGGAGCCGTGATTTGGGCTCCAATTAGGGTATAGCTAGATGAGCATTAGTGTATATATTCTGCTCATTTAGCACCGTAGATAGAACAAGGAACTTGATCACTTTCTTCACACTTGATCAGCGATGAGAGACCACTCAGCTTCCACAGCTCTACACTTACCCTGCTAGACAGGTCTACTTTAGAGCCTAAAAAGACTGTAAAGTGGCTAGGAATCTACTTTAACAACGCACTCTCCTTTAAAGAACACGCAGCTACAAGGATTAGCCAAGCAAGAAACGCTTTCTACAGAATGTGCAGACTTGCAAACAGCAATAGAGGCCTCCCTCCTTGCGCTGTAAGACAGCTATACTTAGCATGTGTTTCTAGCATTGCAGACTATAGTTGCTGGGTCTTCTAGAAACAACAAGCAGGAATAACAAAGCAACTTTAAGGACTGCAGAATCTTGCCCTAAGGAAAATCCTAGGAACCTTTAGGACCTCTCTAATAGCACTACAGGATAAAGAAGCAGCACTACCTCCCCCTGCTATAAGACTAAATACTGCTCTAAGAAAGTACGCCTTTAGAGCTAGGAACCTACCTAAACACCACCCTGTTTACATTATAATTAAGACTCTAAAAGCTACTCTACAGTTACAAAGAGAAGATGTAGACTCTAGCACAGAATAAGAAGAAGAAGTAGCTCTATTAAAGCTAAGAACAGGCCCACCTACACAGCTTATGCAAATTATACAATTAATACAAAACGCTACTTCTAGCACAGAAGAAGAAAAACTATAGGACTACTATTTCTGCCCCTAGAACAAGACTATATTATATATAGCAGAAATCTCTAAACTCTCTAAAGAAGAAGAAGTAGAGTAATATAAAACATAAATGCTACAGAGACTAGGAGACAACCTACTTGCTATCTACACAGACGCCTCTTCTATTAAGAAAGGTACAGGAATAGGAATAGGAGCTACTACTCTAGACTACAAACAGCAGGCTAAAGAAATCTACTCTACTAAATATAATATTAGCAAAGGCTAGATTGTATACAATAGAGAGCTAGAAGGCATAACAAGAGCCTTTAAGTTTGCTGCTTCTATAGCTACAGCAACATAAGAGATCCAAGTCTTTGCAGATAACTAGGCAGCTATTCTAAAGCTAAAGACTCCTTCTAATAACCCTAGACAAGCTTAGCAAATCCACTGCACAAAGGCAGCAAAGGCAATTCATGTAACGACGCAGGCAAGAAGAGAGATATTTAGAATAGGTGTGAATCCGCTACAAGGCATATAGGAGTGCTAGGATGATAAGAACACTAGGATATATTCTCTACACCTATAGGTCTTGTACAAAAGGATATAGAAAAACTACTCTATA